TACATTATATATATAATATATATATATATATATATATATATATTATTATCATATATTTTTTTCAATCTAAGAGGATCAAAATTTTTGTCGATTAGATAGTTTTCGATAAGTACAAATGAATGTTAATTTAATTATTACGTATTAGTAATTAGTAATTAAATTGCTATTTATCTATAGCAAGTAATCTTCTTGATATTGTTTTCATATTATTAAAAAATAATCATAAATTTAAAATTATTGTAGCTAGATATTAATTTAATATTAATTTAAAATTTTAATCAAAGTTTTTATTCAATTAAAAATATTTAATTCTAAATATTTTATTTTTTTAGAGTAGATATCGATTTAATATTTATTTTTAACGACAAAATTTTTCTGAGTGTGCCGTTTTTCTAATCAAAACATAGTGAATTTATCTTGACAAGACCACACCTAAAGTGATCAGTTGTTTAAATGATCTTTTCTTTCGATTTTATTTTATTCATTCAAATAATATAGCGAATTATCATGGAATGTTATATTTTAATTTTCAGCTTTTCAATNTATATATATATAGAATAAAAAATTTTCATTCATATAAAAAAATAATTTAATTTAGAATTAATGTAGAAAAAAATTTTTTTTTATAAATAATTTAAATAATTTTGTCTTATAAAATATTTATTTTTGTTGATAAATATTTTATGAATGTAATATTTTTATTTTCTAAAATTTATATAATTTATATTTTTGCATAATATTAATGAATGATTTAATTATAGGAGCATCATAATGATGAAAGATGTATAAAAATTAAAGACAGTTGTTTAAGTATTGTAAGAAATTCTTGATCGCAGAAAACTATAAGGAGAATATATCAATAATATAGTAGACATCGTATTTCTTGGAAATAAATATCAATATATTTGATATTGCTCCAATGAAAGCTGAAAATTCGTTTAATATAATTTAACGGTATTAAAGTAATTGGAAAGGAATTAAGAATATTGATAAATATTTTAAGATCTCTTCACAATTTATTTTTCAAAATAGGTGTTTTTAATATATAATAAAATTCTAATATTATTTTCTTAATAAGCCCTTATAATTATATATCCTTATATAATTATTTTATTGCGAATATGCAAATCTAATTATAAATTCGAATTTACTGTAAAAATTATTTAAATATAATTTAAATGTAATTGCATATTTAAATAATATATATATAATATATATATATGATATGAGACCGTGAAAACGTATGCTGAATATACATTTTTTCCTACATTAAACAATAATTTCTATCGATATATCGATATTCTCTCTACTCTTTTTTGTAACCATCAGCGCCATCTCTTTATTATATAAAAAGTTATAAATTCGTAAAAATATTTAAAAATTTATAATTGTATATAGAACAATTAATTTTAAATTTATTAGTATATATAAATGAATATTAGAATATATAATGATATATGTAATAAGAAAATGTAAATAAGAAATTAAAAATTGTATATTGTCATAATATTTTAAAATAAACTTAATTTTTATTTATATTTACTAATTTGGATTTTCACATTGTAAACTTATATTTTGAGGATTGAGTAGACATTATTTTTACTTAATATTATCTTTAAACATTTCATATATTTCTGTTGATAATGATAGTAAAAGGATAAAATACATCGATAAATATATTATTATTTCAGAAGAAGATGAATAGATAAATTCTAAATTATTTCTAAATATTGAAAGTGAATAAGAAAAAAATAAAAAAATTAGAAAGACAAAAGATATTAAAAAGATACAATTCTCATTTATGATGGCGGTCTCGGAATTGCGCGACTGCGTGGATTGAAGCAGAATTTGTAGACAGAAGCAGAAAAAATAAAAACGATAAAGAGAGATAGTTTGCATAACGTGAAAAGATTAGAATGAAAACAAGAGAATAAAAAAGATATACTAAGCAAACGAATATAGATATAT